TAATACTATTAATATTCAAGTAAATTAGTGTTTTTGGACCAGCAATAAGTTTGTTTATAATATATTAAGAAAGTAGGACTGTACAAGCATTTTTAGTTTTGGTTTTATGGTTCTCTTTACTTTAAATGTCATTTTCTCAGACTTTCTTTTTTGTTGATACCACTGTTTTCGATTCCCTAAGGCNTAAAAATAAACAACTTAAAAAATAAAAATGCTGTTGCCAGCCATATAATTTTTTGAAAGTTAACTTAGCAACAAAATTCAAAATGACGTAGAAGCGCAACTAGATCAAAATTATGATACCTGAGTGCTTGACGTAACAAATCCTTCAATTCTATATGTGTTGTATCGCCAAATGCCCAGATAATATTGAAAGTTACAGGTTTAGAATTTTCTACAGTGAAAAGTTTTCGGAACTTCAGTATTCGAAAAAGTATACAAAAGCTAGACGTTAAGAACGTATCCAATGCGTGAGCAAAGCGGGCATTGGATTGCGAAGCAATCCGAAATGAACTGCGAAAGCAGTTCCGGGGGTTGGTGAGCGCCAGCGAGCAGGGGACGAAGCCTCCTAGTACTTTATATTGCATTATTTTTCTCTGAATCGAGATTAATATTTATGTTTAGTGTTTAATTTTGCTTTATCTTTCTCTGAATTAAAACTACTATTTACTTGAGCTTTCATTATTTTGTAAAGTAAAATAAATTTAAGTATTGCATTGATAGTTAGTTCATTCTAAATTTTGGAATAACAATGATAAACAAAAAGTTTGACACCTGAGATTGACAACTTTATAACCGGAAATCAATTTCATTACGAAAATGCTGTAAAACTGGCCTTTAAGCAACTTATTGTCTCCTGTAACCCAGGGCTTCATCCCTCTTGCCTGAATAACTTGTCACTAACATAACAAAAAGATCGAGAATATATCGGTAACATAATTTGATAAATGAAATAGTTCCTCATTCCAGTAAGCTATCAATTTTCATATTTTACGACCTTATCAATAAAATAGGGCTCTAAATAAATATTTTAAATAAAGTAAAAGGAAATATTATTAAAATAAAATTGAAACTTCTACAAGAACATAAAAAGTCATTAAATGAAAATAAAAGTGAAACAGGAGGTAAGAAAAACTATAAAAAAAAAGAACATTTTATTCTTATCTAATTTCAGTTGTATCTGTCATTTTCATCTGACAAACGTTTTAAAACGTGAAACAATGATTACCAGAATCATTTGGCATGAATCGCACGACCGATTCTTACGACATTTCCCGCCATTGACATTCTAACATACAAAAATTGTTCCCCATTTATTCAAGGTGGACACGCGTTCGGGCGTTCTCAATATTACGATAATTTCTCGGTCACTACTAAAATATAAATATCTATCACAAAAACCGGACGTTGCGATTTTGTGGCCCTAGAATTACCACTAAATATATATGGGGGGGGGGAAATAATTNGGGGGGGGGGGGGAATAATTTCAAGGTCGTAATTTTATGTTATTTCATTTCTTTTTAATGGTAGTTAAACCGGAAGTTTTCGAATATATATACATGCCCATGATGAAATTTGTGCTTTTTTTTAAAGATATATAAATTATATTAATAGCGCTTTGGTATTGCACGGAAGCTTAATGTTATTGTACTCTTAATGTTGTGAAATGTAAAAAAATTATTGTTATCTTTTACTTGACGATTCCATTTAAGTTACGTTTTAACTTTCGACATGAGTTTGAAAAATCTACTTCACTGTATAGTTTGCTTCATTTTAATTGCGTCGGTAAATATTTCACAATACTATTAATTATTTTATTAATTAAATTAAATAAACTATTAATTATTTTTATCTATATAATTTACATTAAATAAAACATGAATTATTTTCAAAATTGTAATTTCTTGTAAACAATCTTGGAACATACGAATAACAATGCTTATTTCACTGCTTATTGACGAACAGAAATATTTCGTCAGTTTGTATATACATTTTAGTTGAAAATGTGATCATGAATTATTGAAAAATAACCTCAGATTTTTGAATCAATCGAGAAGTTTAAGGAATGCAAATTTTAATGAAGTTGGCCAAAGATTGTTTGTTTTATATTTTCTCAAACTAACTCTATCATTTTATAGGTTTACAACTCATGTTCGATTATTTGTCTTTAGGTAAATAAATATTATGTAAAAACTGAAATAATGTTTAAAAAGAAGGATGATTTAGAATTTATTAAAAATAAAACTCGTCAAACTTTAAAAATCTTTCGTGCAAAAAAGGACTACATTCATGTAGTTTAAGAAAACCAAAACGGAGGTAAATTAGAAAGATCATTCTTCTACTGAACAGTACAGTAAATTATGGATAATTTTAAAAAAATATGCTATAAACATTGTGTAGTGTGATCTCTATTTTTTTTCTAACATCATAAATTGAAGATTAAAATATGCACAATCAGTTTCTAAAAAAAAATATTAAGTTAAATTTATTACAATTGTTGAAAAATTCATTAAGAAATCCTTCTTTTTACCGGCATCTATGTTGTTCCCCCCTAATGTAACTATTCAACTATAAAAATAAGTATATAAAGTCAAATTATAGATAAAATATGACATTAATAACAAAATGAAAGGTTCGTGAGATATGTCCATTCAATTTAATCTAGCTTCAAACTTTGCGGCAACAAACTGAAGAAACACGTGACAGATATGTTTAACTAACGTATGTATGTTTGTTCTGAAAATATTAAGTCTCCAGACAGTGTAATAAAAATAAGATTAACACAGTCATAGTGGCAAAATCTCACGAAAGAGGATTACTAATTGCATTCCTCACACCACAGAAAGTATTTAAAGAAAGGAAGAAAAAAATAATACCCAGCATACCATCTAATTAGTATATATTTTTTTTAAATGCCATTGCATGGGAAAAATACTTTTCATGTTAATCTGATGTTCTATTTTTTTAAAATACAGCATCGCCTCGTTAAAGATGATGAGTTTTTAGACCACCGTGCTTGACATAATAATTACAAAGTTGAAAGGAAAAAAACGCCTCAAGTTGTTGAAGAAAAAAAGTTTAAGTAAATTACACTTGTTAAAAAAAAATTTCCGTTTCATAAGATTTTTTTTTAACAGATCTTTGATATTTTCGTATCTCAATTTCAGATCTGCAATCAGGTTTCAGTCTCCAAGCTACAGTTTTTAAATGATATTTTTAGTCCAATTTTTGAATAAATGTACTAGTTTAAAAACGGTGTGTATGGCAGAAGATCGCATAAATATTGCGAGAAATTTCTGGGGGAGTTAGGGCACATCATCAGAATTAATACAATTACAAAAAAAACCATGCCCAGAAATGACGCCGTACAGGCGTTTTCCTTTTATATCATGTTCAGAAGCAGACGAAGAAACAGTTCATTATAGAAGAAGCGATCCTAGCAGAGTACGACTACATTTCCTCGCATGGGTTTTTATGCAATTATAATCAAGTCAAGTTTTTCGAAAATACCCATTTATGTTAGAAAATAACTATAGATAATTTTTGCTAAAATTACATTTTATCCAAAAGCAGCAAAGGCTGGAACGTATATCGCTCACTCTTTTTTATTTCCCGAATTTTATGCTTTAATATCTTTTATATTTCATTCGGTTTATCTTAAACGTTGCGTCTTCTGTTCATTTTGGCTGGAAACATTACAGCTCCCCAATGTCTGGAACTGTCGCTTGCTCCTTCAATTCGTTTTGTTTGCTCTATTTTCATCTGTTCAGCTCGCTGTGGAACCCATTACCAATAAAGTACAAATGAAATCAAGACATTGAAGTGTTTCTATATTCGTTCTTTAGATTATGTAATTTAGCACCAAAAATAAATAATAAATATAAACAATGTAAGATACCTTCATCACACTGGTGAACAATTTTTTTCCTGTTGCATGCGATTTTTTTAATATATTTTAGACATTTTCGTACCCTTGATTTCAAATCAGCAATCAGTTTTTCTTCTACAATTTCTTTTAATGACATTTTTAGTTTAATTTCTGTTGAAATATACAAGCGTGAAAACGTTATGTATAACAGGGGATCACATAAATGTTTCGACAATCTCTTAGGAGAGATTATTAGATTTCCACTTACTCTATTTCTTCTTACCAGATTTATTTTCGGAAACGTACCAATATTGTATTGATTTTTTGAACTTTGAACTGTACAAGATTTATAAACAACCCAATATTATTAAATACATAAAAATAAGTAGAATGAATTGGATGGCCCACTTGATTCGAATGAGTGATGACAATACAATAAAAAATATACTGCTTTTTAGGCCCACTGGAACAAGAAAGCGAGGAAGGCCGCGGCTGAGATGGGCTGACTCAGTGGAGTCTGATTTTCTCGCAATTAAGGAAAAAAATTGGAGATCAAAGGTGTATCAGAAGTCGTCATGGAGAAATCTTCAGAGGAAGGCATTGGCTCACATTGGGCTGTCTGGCCAACTATGATGATGATGACCAATATTGCATAAAAATTAAAACAGACGACTTTTAGGTTTTTGCGTGCAATGAATAAATCATCTAATTTCCATTCTGTTTTGCAACCTTTCTCAATCTTTCAAGCAACTTAAAAAATTCCATGCGAAATTTATGCGAAATTTATTTACTCAAGTTTTTATCTCAATCTAAAGAATTCAATGATTTATCATTCAGTGTATTTTGTACTAATCGAAGCAGCTTGTCAGGTGAATATGGTTAAAAGAATGGAACATTCCAACCTACCTCTTATAACTACAGTTAATATATTATTAGATAAAAAAAAGTGATAAAAAAAATTGAGATCTTGCATTGAATAAGACACAACAGGTACAGGGCCGAATTGGAAACAACTGAATAATTAAAATTCAATAAAATAACTTGTGTAACTTCTTTATTAATTTGTAACTTTATAATATAATAATCCGCTTAGTTGTTCATTGATTTTGATTAAAGTAAGAAACTTGAACCATTTGTAATTAATCAAAATCTATTTATTATGCACACTTTTAACAAGTTGTGTTGAAATGGAAAATAATTTAACATAAAAAAGGCTTCCACCTGTTGCATGAGTTAAAATTAAGTTGCTTAGTTTTTCGATGCTTTCTCTTTTTCTCTTTTCTTAAGCTCAGATCGTTTTACTTTGCCTGATGGACCCTTGGGCAACTCTGTGACAAATTCTATCTGAAAAGATGATATAATATGATAGAATATTAATTTGTGAATACATTATTAAAAAATCATGAGAGTAAAAGATATTTCTTTAAAATAGATTTATTTTTTGAAACCATTAAAAACACCTAGCCTCTATTGCTTCTGAAACACATTTTTAAGGACAAAATACAAACATTTTTAAGAGATAAGTTAAGAGATAATTTTAACAGGTTAACGTAGTGCACTGAAAATCACTTTTTTTTAAAAAAAATCTAGATAAATTTCGCCATTATAATGTTATTGATTACTGATACATTTCCGCAACCGGTCTAAAATTAGAATTATGAAATTCGGAAAATCGGTTAAAATATAAGTCTTGGATTTCAATAAAAAATTTCAAATGCAAAGAAAAAAATTTTATTATAGTTTTTAATGTTTAATTGGTTTTGCATTTACTTGTAAAGTACAAATAATTTCAAGAATAATATAAGAACGCTCTGCGGTATTCAACGAAAATTTCGTTAAAAAATTCCTCAAGAAAAATAAATGCGCAAATTTCTCCCCATTGAAAGTCAATTAAGGGGGGAGGAATTTCTATAATTTTCCCGACTGATACTAGATTAATTCTTACGAAAGTTGCTAAGTAACGGGTATACATAAACAAAACATTTTCCGTTAAATATCGAAGAGTGCTCCCTTGTGTCTTAAAGATGAAACCAAATAATGTCGTTAACTTTTAATTTCAAAACTTAAATGGAAAAGGAGTTGAAGGTATTGTCAAACAATAAATAACTACTGAGAAAAGAAATCTATACCTTTCTTGGATACTTATATGGTGCCGTCGTTTGTTTACAATGTTCTTGAATTTCTTTAATCAGCTTTTCACTAGGTTCCACAGAACTTTTTAGAACTATAAATGCCTTGACAACCTAAAATTTTAATAGTAAGAGTCATGGTTAAACAAAATAAATTCCAATAAACTAGCAATAATATGCCTGACAAGCAATTCAAAAAAAGGAGTCTGTTGCAGCTTCGTGTAATAATCCAAACTTAATTTCAAACATCAATTTATCTAACATTATTTGTTTTAAGAATGGTCTTTGAATTTTTGGTTTTGTAAATCTCAGGAAGATAAGGAACAACTATTGAGCATAGAAATGCACCAGAAAACTTTATAGTTTTATTTTAAAACCATCATTGATTCCTATTTGTATTACCAATTTTTGACTATACGACTATCAATGTTCAACTCCGTAGTCTTGTAATTGTGAATCCAACCAAGAAGGCAAGGAAATTCCTGGAACAAACGAACAAACTAGCCTTCGTGGAGGACTTTTGAAGGGAACTAGCCTGTACTTGCGCTATATGGTGAGGAAGTACACGGCCCCCACACATGGTCAGCCCGACAGCATGAGGATTCTAACCTATGAACCGTCTACTACTGAGGACATTTTACATCATTGCTATAGATTGTTCGAGTCAGGAACAGAATTCGTACCAATCAGTCACCACTGAGACTCCAACCTGGGTCACCTCATTGTGAGGGGATGGCTGATTGATACGAAGTGTTAGTTCCATCCAAAAGTCATCCGAAAACACTGTTTTGCCTCAATGCTTGAAGCAAGAGTTCCCTTGTCTTCTGGGTAGGGTTCAAAGTTATAAGGCAACGGAGTTGAACATTGATAGTCGTAATCTAAGAATTAGGTGGGCTGTTAAATGCCGATTCGAAAATAAAGTCTAGAGTAAAGAAGAATGAAAAGAACATTCTAAAATTAATTCAAAAAAAAAATGAATAAGGAATATAAATTGCAAACCTCTCCTCTGTCTTTATCTGGACTTCCTACCACGGCTGCTTCAGATACCGCTGGGTGTACTACTATAGAATCTTCTACCTCAGTGGGACCTATTCTATAACTGTAAAATAAAAAATATCTACATACGATAACTTAAAAAATAACAATTTTATAATAGTTATGACTTGGGAAAAGCAGACTAACTTGATTAAAAGAACAAGAAGTTAGAAAAAAAAGCTATACTTAGTCTTTAAAACTCAGTTAGTTACTTATAACTTATAGGAAACGAACTGATCTCATAACAGAAAAAAAAATCGGAGCTAAAAAAATTTCATCAGTTTTTAAAGCTTATATACATTTTCATCTCAAAAAGATGTGGTACAGAATTGGTACATTTTACATTGGTACATTAAATCAAACGAAATAAAACTTAACCTGAAAGTTCATAGTTCAAAGTATGACAAAACCGATTACAGCAAAATTGCAATAGTGCAAACTCGAGATCATGAACTAATGGCCGTTACAGAAAAGTAGACCAAACATGAGATAGGATGAGCTAGCAAAAGAAAACCGTAAAGCTATATAGGATGGAGCAGCCAGACAAATATCCAGCATGCATTGCGATTGGAATGTGCTTTACAGAGAAATTACAGTGTCGCAAACATATGTCCTCGTGAACTTTGTGGGCCCTGTTATTGCCACCATGGAGGTCACATACTATGTTAAACCCTCCACAAGTACTATTATGCTACACCAGTTTTGAGTCTTGCTCTGATACCCATCAATTGAGCATGAGTTCGAACGTCTACCTTTTGTTAATTATCGTTTTTTAAAACTTTGAAGTATTTACATGAATAATTTCACTTGATTTGGTTATATTTTGAACTGTGCCTAGTGTTTGTTTCTTATCTTTTGCTTGTGACTGTTGTATAACACAATAGTAGAATAAAAAAGCCGTTTCCACGATAAACGGCGGTGCAGGCGGTACAGGCGCAGGCGGTCGAGTTGAGTTGAGTTATTTCCCTCCTGCTGCTGAGTTGAGTTGAGTTGTTTCCCTCCTGCGTTAGTTTTGGTTTCGGTTTCCAAAATTNCGAAACCAAAACTAAAATCAGTGTTGCCACCGGAAGTTAATAATTTTGGAAACCGAAACCAAAACTAAAGCAGGGGGGAAACAACTCAACTCAACTCAGCAGCAGGAGGGGAAACAACTCAACTCAACTCGACCGCCTGCGCCTGTACCGCCGTTTATCGTGGAAACGGCTTTTTTATTCTACTCACAATGGTTTGAGTAATTATTTTTTTAATGCTAACTCTAATTTGCATTTAATATGTCTATTAGTGAAACACAAACGTATGAATAATCAGAATGCTTTCTTATTTTTAAAATATTATCAAAACTAATAGCACTTTGTTCTAATATGCTTATTAGTAACATCCAAGAATATGAATTACAAATCTGCAATTCGAAATGTACAAGTTTAAAAACCTTATATATAACAGGAGGTAGCATAAATGTTGCGACAAACTTCTAGGGGAGCACATCATTAGGTAACTCGTCACTAGGAGCGCTTTTTAAAGATAGTCAGTTTTTTGTATACCTCTGAAGAACTCATTGTGGGCAAGCGACCCTAGCAGCGTATGACAACAAAATACAGCAAAGAGTTTCTATGCAATTTTAATCCTGATGATGTGTTGAAAAGTTTGTTCCAATACTTACATGACTCCCTCTTAGATATAATGCTTTCAAACTTGTACAATTCAACAAAAATAGACAAAAAATGTCATTTTAAAAATATTTGTTGCTTTAGGAGCAAAGCTAATTTCAGATTTGAAAACCCTACAACCGATCAGGCAAGATCGAGTATTTGTAAAAATACAACAAAAAATTTGCTCCCCCGTGTTATCAGAATTGTTTCTATTTTTTTAAAAAGAAAATTAAAATTTGAAAATAAATTGATTTGAAATGAAGAATACATTTTCAGTTATTTATTTTAGATTATTACACTTTTAATTATGATTTGATATAAATTCTATAAAGTTTTCTTGTAATAATGTGTAAGAATAAAATAGTTTATGATTACCCTGAAGAATTAATCACATCATCTTTTCGTCCCTTAAACCAATAGTATCCATCTTTGTCATAATATGCTAAATCACCCGTATGATAATATTTTTCCCTAAAAACGGCTTTATTTGTTTCTGGATTATTCTGAAAAGTAAAAATGTATGTGATCAGTTTTATTAAAAAAGTTTCACATAAGTAGGAACCAAATTTCAAACGTAGATGGAACTGTTACGACCCGTTATCAAATTTTTATTTTATCCGCAATAAATTTTTAATGAAGATGAAATGAACTATAAAATACAGGGTGTTTATAAAGTCCCGGACCCATTTTGATGTTTAATAACTCATAAAATAATAAGGATAGATTAAAATTAATAGCATAAATGGTTACATAGACTCAAAAAGTTTCATGACCCTCATCAATTTACTTCCACGTGTGCCCCCTTCGTCGCACGGAGAATATCAAGTCGATGGTCAATTTCACGCCAGGTAGCGGCAAGCATGTCGGCATCCACAGAGGCTATTGCGGTTGTAATTCTGGCTTTTAGGTCATCAATGTTCGACACGATCCTCCTGTAAACATTGTTCTTTATAAATCCCCAAAGAAAAAGGTCCAGCGGCGATATATCAGGTGATCTGGATGGCCAAGGAATTGGACCTCCTCGCCCAATCCATCTTCCTGTCTCATTAGTCGTCGGTCTCATCAGTCGTAGACTTAGACATGTTGGAAAACTTCGTATTTCCACAGCTAGAAGAGCTTCAACCACATGTCTTTTTGCAACAAGATGGTGCACCATCTCATTGGGGTATCATCGTTCGTAGTTCTTTGAATGACCATTTTTCGGGAAGATGGATTGGGCGAGGAGGTCCAATTCCCTGGCCACCCAGATCACCTGATATAACGCCGCTGGACCTTTTTCTTTGGGGATTTATGAAGAACAATGTTTACAGGAGGATCATGTCGAACACTGATGACCAAAAAGCCAGAATTACAACCGCAATAGCCTCTGTGGATGCCGACATGCTTGCCGCTACCTGGCGTGAAATTGACTATCGACTTGATATTCTCCGTGCGACGAAGTGGGCTCACGTGGAAGTTCATTGACAAGGGTCATGAAACTTTTTGAGTCTATCTAACCATTTATGTTATTAATTTTAATCTATCCTTATTATTTTATGAGTTATTAAATATCAAAATGGGTCCGGGATCTTATAAACACCCTGTATAATTAATTAATTTAGTCGAATAAATATTGAAACACAGCAGTTTATTTATTTATTTTTGTTCTTAATATTTATTTTGCCCTCTTAATCGATATCAAAATCAGTTTCCGGCGTTTTTAGCATAACATTTGTCAGCTTTTTACAATTTTTCTCAAAAAATTCGTTTTTACGCCATTTTTGAATGAATAAACGAATAGGGCAATGAAATGTTTAGCTTAAATTGAAAAACGAATAGGGGGATAGAATAATTTACTTGAATCAATGAACGAATAATACTGCAATCCAGTTTTCATCTGCCTATGAAATAACCCATAAATTCAATTTGAAATTAGGATCTGGCGAATTTACCGGTCACTAAAATATCCACTTTGTTTTTAACAGAAAATTTCACCATTTGTTGAGCATTAAATAAAAACATTAGCTTTTGGAGTTACATAGCATTTATAGCCAAAAAAAATTATAAATTCAAGCAAGTTAAGCGTGCATATTAAAAATTCCTTATGACTATAGAAAGTGAACACAATTTTATCATTTGTAAAATTTTCCAATCAATTATAAAAGGAAATATCTCGTGAAATATCTTACTTTATAGCCTTTGAAAAGTCCAATAGCAGTCTTCCGATCTACCACTATTTCTCCCAATACACCTGGGCTCACAACATTTTCGTTTTCGTCCACAATCTAAAGAAAAACAAAAATATTTTTGCATGAGAAAATGTCTGAAGTACAATTAAACTATTCAAAAATATCATGTCCATATGTTTATTGTGTCAAGAAGTATTAAAGTTGTAAGAGACAAAATATGAAGAAAAATAAATGGATTTAGTACAGAAAATAATGATCAATTTTTAAATTCACTAAATGGGTTGGATTAGTATCATTTGAGAAACTAATATATCTTTGCTTGACTAGTTTTTATCTCATACAATTTCGGAGACAAAAGTACCAATAAAAATACTCACTCTGACCTACAGTACATCCAGTACTGCAAACTAGATTTACAATTAAAACAGTTGGTCAGATGCGTTATGTAGGGGCTAGAAAAAACGCACACGTTCCAAATACAGAAGATCAGTCACGCCCGGTTAAGGGGGGACCCTACCCCGAAATTCGAAAAAAATTTCTTGCATTTTTCGAATCTGTGTACCCTTTCTAATATCTGTCTAAAACGATTTCTCGGTACCTAACTTCGTTTGGAAGTTATACCGGAAAATAAAGAGTCGTCGCTAAGCAGGTAGAAAGGCCCGTTCGGCCGAATTAGGAGGGGCGACATTCTTTTTGTGTCTCATCCATTCCGTTGACGGAGAAGACATATGGACTTGGAATTGCAGAATAAAGGTTAGTCATTACTAATTTAATAATTTACTAGATTGAACATAAGTCGAAACTTTAAACGCGTTTTTCTCAAAACACTGTTTTTTGACCTGGCCTAGGGTTTTTCTCATGAACTATACAACGAAATAAGCTGTTCCTTATTTTAAATTAAATAAAAATACACTCTTTAAAAAGTAGCATAGGATTTTTTGATATTCTTACATTTCGATTTTATATTAGTATTCAAGCGAATAATTTTGGAATGAAAAACTTAAATTTTTTTTAAGTTGCCGCCATTTTGGTATTTTTGCGAATATAAAAAAAACCGCTATGCTACTTTTTAGATAATGTCTTTATGTTTCAGAAAATCTAAACAAAATCTTCTTCCTATGTTTCAGGACTTCTAAATCCATGAGGCCAGTGAGGTGCTACTTTTTGATGACCAGCCACACCCGGAACTGCCTCCAACTTATTTTTTTATTATTTTGCAAACGAATTTTTTTTTAAATAGACTTAAGTTGTAGCTAAATAACACAAAAAAAAGAGTCTCTGCATTGTCTCTATCACTTAATAAAAATTCAAGAAAAAATCGTTAATATTTTACCATCTTAGTGTGTGCCCCCCCTCCCTTAATGGTGTAGTGTATGGTATACCATTAACCATGGTATAGTGAAAAGCCATGCATAACTATTCGACATAATGTTTCCCTAAAGCCAATATTCTTTTACAGTACTTTGTGCAAATCAACCACTGCCATTTTTGCTATCAAATTACAATAAAATTTATAATTACAATAAAATACACATGAGAGTCAGTAAAGATATTTTTACTATGGAATATAAAGTAAGAATCATTAATTTAGAACGCATGTATACGCATAAAATAAAATAAGTTTTTAAATCAAACATCCGCTTAGCACAGAAAAAAATGTTAAGACGAATTCAGACTAGGCTTAATGGAATGGAAGTAAATAGAAATCAGCTAATACTTTGTTTACATCACACTAGAGCTGCACAATGGGCTATTGGTGACTGTCTGGGAAGCATCCCTGAGGAGGATCCGAAGACATGTTATCGCTATTTTGATTCTCTGCAGAGAGGATGGCTCCCCTGCTTTGGTAGCCCAACGAACTGCACGCGAAGTCGAGTACTTTACGGTAGAACAGTTTAACGAGATCAGATACTGCGCACCTACGCAGGCTGATCAAAGTGAGCATCCACCCGCTTACTGTTCATTACTTGACTTCGGTGTTTTACTGGGAACTGCGTCTTTACGATCAGTCCACTATGGGACGAATCAGCTAATACAGTTTCCAGAGACTTAAAAATTAAATTATAATTATCCATTTTACACAACTAAAGCATACATAAATAATGCTACGCAGCAAATTTTTTATTTCTGTTCATGAATTTAAGCGTTAAAAATTACAACTATCTCTCACCAACTTATTCTACACAGTAAACATACTAATCCCGCTATTCAACTTGGCGTTTCCTGAAATTCAAAGTGCGCCAAGAGTCAACAAAAGTGTTTTCGGAAGGAAAAATAATTCTGGTATGTCTCGAATGTTATAAAAACGTGAAAATTCGGTGTATTATTTTTCAATTACATCGTAGATATTGATTTAAATTATACTGTAAGATTTAAATTTAGAATTAGACTTAAATTACGTTTTAGATTTAAATGTCATTATATGCAATCGTATATGTGTTAACCCGAAGTAAAGCGTTCCTTCGCGCAATTTTTTTGGGTTGTTCAATATTATATTCCTAGAGATATTACACCACAGTTATTACATTGTACTGCATTAATAAATAAATATCATTGTTTCCTTGTTCAAGTTTTCTCTTGTTTTAAAGTACTTGTTTTAAAATAATTGTAGAATTACACGTTTTATGTGTGTAAAGTTAAAACATAACAGTCTGAAATACGTCAGACAATCCCTAGGGTCTACTAATTCTTTAATGTATCAGTCATATTTGGGTGATTCTTTGTAAACATGACAATTCGCACCAAAAAATTTCTTCAAATTTAAGGTCTTCAAAATAAAATTTTTTTTGTATACTTTTTTAGTTACACTTATTAATATCTTACAAACAGCAGTGTAGTTTATTGACATTTTCTCGAGAAAAAAAATAAAATAGAAATTCACCAAATTTTGCATGCCAGGAAAATGATATATTAGCTTAGAAGTTTAAGAAACAGTCATTTTAAGTTTGATGAAGAAGATGTTATCAGGGTGCCAATTTATCGAGAAGGATTATTCAGTGTGCCATTTTATCGAGAAGGACTTATTTCCTGTGTGGATGGAGGTTGAGTTTATGGATATATCAGGGGTGATTGGAGTTTGTATTCGTATAGTGGGGTAGTTGAAGATTATTGGCAAATTGAAGATTAATGCTGAAATCAGGGAATGGTGAAAAGAATACTCGAACTGGATCATATTTAATAAAAAGGCTTTTATNCGTAGGGTGAGTAGAAAAAACAGTAATTTTAAGTTAATAGTAAGTAACTCAACTTAAGCCTTTATGTTAGATGGACCATAAATTGCTTAAATGAATTCCTTTTATCCACTGTAGGAAGAATCAAAATTTTTTTTTGTTGCTGATATGTACAGAATTAAATTGCGTATAATAATCAATAAATAAATAAATAACATTGATTTCATCCAAGCATATTATAATCATACATAAACTTGGTATTAGGTTAATATTTGCTTTCCTTCCTTACAGTATTAGCAGTGAAAAAAAATTTCTGGTAACACTTCAGTGTCCTGGCATTCAGCCAGGAAAATGGCAGCCAGGATAATGACAAATTCGCCAATTTATAGCTTATAACTTTACTTTAATCTAATATTTTGGCCTAAGGCGTTTATATTCTACAGAAAACAACAGGATTTCTTAAAATAACTCAAATAAATCTCTGTAATTTATGTTATTAATGATTTCAAGAAGAGAGGAAAATGACAACACCAAAACCTACTCACCTTGAAAATTTTTTTGAAATAGATTTTGAACCAAAAAATTGGTTCTTTATTCATGCAAAAAGGCATGTTCATATAGAAGGGTATCTAATCAATCTATTAACATAGGATATTGATTGCTGGCTCTATCTATTTTGGTTATAAACCACTAAATAAAAGTAGCCAGGAAAATGACAGATTTTCTTGGGACAAACAAATTATTGACAGAAAATTTTTTTTTAAACGAAGTTTTTGTAAATAATACCCCCTGCGTATATTTTAGAAATGCTTACACCTGTTGAGAAAAAAAAATTAGATATTGAAAAATTTATGGGAAGTTTTGAAGCTAGTTATAAGTGGAAACATTGTTTGGGACATGCCAGGTAAATGACGTTTTGAAATTCAATTAAATTTTTTAACTATACAAAACAGTCAATGCTAGTTCAAAGTCATTTTAAAATTCTAACAGCAATGCAATTTATTAATTTAAAAAAAAAAGTTTTTATAGTATTAGATCTTGGAGCAAAGGACAGTGAATTGTCATATTTCGTGAGAATCACCCATTTATCGTTTGAGCTATTGCTATTACGCCACAAATAAAAGCTAACCGGGCTATTGCTTTCGAACTTACATTTCTTGTCTAAGTCAATTCTTTTTATGCAAATTGAAACTACTCGTTTAGAATAATTTTTGCAGGATAACGGATTATATTAGGAACACTTTTTTTAATTCCTATCCCATAATCTTGGTATTATCATTTGTTAAAAATCAAAACAATACTCACAGCTAGATTCACTCCAGGCATTGGTTTACCCATCGCACCAAAACGATATTCAAAGCTTTTCTGTTGCGCTATCAGTCCTGTCTAGGAAGGGTCCAAAATATTAATACATAGACTCATTAGATAAAAAGTTTATTTTAACGTTTGTATGGTTGATTATTTTAAATTTTTTACTAGTAATTTAAAGAGAAATAAAAAATAAGCAAACAAATTTTATTTTTTAATCTGATTATCGAAATTTGGAATGCTGTAAAATATAATTACTCGAAGTTAAAAGTAGTCATATGATACAATAGATACTAAGGATTTCCAAGACCTCTTTCTTCTAACATAACACTTTCCTGGGGTTAATATCTTTATCGCTTCATCAAAGTAATCGGAAAGATCGGTGAGTATTAATAAGTTACCCACGATATTTAGTTATCCTAGAGCCCAAGATGCTTTTGCTCCAGTTTCAGAAAACACTGTAAATATGCTGCAATCCCGAAAAAGTGTGTATTGCACGTGAACTATGCAATTGCAAAAACGTGTGCACGCAAGTGAGCCATGTTTTCGTTCATATTAAAGTACGTCGAAATCAATAAAGATTATATTGCTTGATAATATAGAGCAACTTTATTTTCTACCCAACAACAACTTAATTTTCACGCATACGCTGTGAAATTCAATCGCTCTAATATGGTTAAACTTGACTTTTTGCCGTTTTAAAATTGCGGCAATTAAGAAGGAAAAAAAATTTATGTTATACGAAAAAGAACATAGGCATTTTATTTTATTATTTCATCGATGCTGAGAAACCAATACATAAAATTATTGAGCGGCTATTGATGGTCAAATCAATTGCCATCTATCGAACAATGTTAACGGCATTATAAATATAGCTAGTAAGGTTCTTATTATTATTATTCGACCCAATTTTTGGGTTTACGACAGCTAATGTTCTAATGCTCAATGGACAGCTAGTGCTTAGCTAATGTTCAATGCTTTGTAATTTTAAACTCAAACCAGAAGACAAGGGAACTGATGGATCAAGTATAGGGAGAAATTTTGCATTCGTGGTGGGTTTGTTGAAGGAACTAACCCGTACTTGCGTTACATGGAAAAGAAGAACACGAGAACCTCACATGGTTGGCCTGACGGCAAAGGCACTCTAACCCATGATCCGTCTACCACTGAGAAAATTTCACGTCAGCACTGTGGTCGGTGCAAGCCGGATGCGGATTCGTATCGACCAGCCATCGCTGGGATTTGAACCCGGTTCACCTCATTGGAAGGCGAACTTTGTATTCCCTGAGCCATTGCTGCTCATTTTGAGCTATTTTCATTTCCTTGAACACGCATTTTGAATTATGTCAAAAACAAAAAGCTCGCAGACGATATTTGTTACTCGGAATATAGATGATCACCATAGTGTCCTCTAGGCGAGAGCGAAATAGACTTTTACTAGGTCACGAGTCCTTTTTGCCAATGGAATGTTAACTACTTTATAATATTTATGCTTCATATACATATTCAATAAAGTACTTACAGTTTCAGATTGCCCATAACCATTATATAATCTTAAACCAGTTCTGGCGAACCACTTTTCTGCAAGTCCTTTGCTCTAAACAAAAGACGTTAATTTTCTATAAATCACTCCCATTATATATGAGGGAGAAAATGCGAACAAATTGTTTTCAAAAATGCAGTCAATAAAAATTTGTCATTCAGAAGTATAGTTTGTCAACGGTAAGAACTCCCCCAGACAACAAAGTATGAAGCCGTCTGCTGCTAGGGAAACAAGAATATCGTATTTCAGGGAGGGTAGCTTCTCTTCGCTCAAAGGCTATCTCTTTCTCTCGCCAACTCAAGCCAAAACCTGTCCTAAACAATGACCCAACACCCCTACTTGAAATAGTTATACCTCGTTACCATAGTTACCGCCACGGGTTCAGATACATGACTAGCGGATTTCTTACTTTAGACAAACTATACTTGAATTTGAGCCTCTAGTGGCGGCCTGATACCTGTTCAACTTCAGATCACTGTGTACTAACTAGTCTAGCGTTCGGTGCGCAATGCTGACAACATTGACATCAGCATGCAGTTATATTGTAAAGCCTTTAATAACATATATATATATATATATATATATGTAGACACATATAAGGAATAGTTTTTATCTTAGGATAATTGTTCTTCATTCAGAAATAT